GTACAATAAGTTAGATTTTATACTTCTTATTGAACATTGATTATAACAGTGATCTTCTATGTTCACATTACACCAAATAATTGCTCTAGCTTAGCACCATCGGCCTTAGGGAAACATGTAACATCATTCCTTACAATTCAGTGCATCTTTGCGGCAGTGCATATTTTTTCAACAATTACATAAAAATGCTGCCATAGGGTATATGCTTTTGACAGTAGCAACTATCACTGTTAGAGAAATATTCTCTATTTTGTTAGTATGAGAAGGCTTTCCTGAATGCAAACAACTCTTTAAAAAGTACTCAAAAGCTGAATTGGCCTTAATGGAAACAGTACTTAGAAGACTTCATGAAATTTTATTTGCTTTTCCACACAAAGACAACAGAAACCTTGCTTGCTGTTAACACAGAAAATCTGAATGGTCCAGAAGACCGGATCATCCCCGATACCCAGTCAAGGACTAAGAATGAGCCTGGCTGCCCCTCCCTGGGCAAATCCTGATCTGGTTTAACATTTTAAGCATGTGGAAATTTCAAGGGTGAGATAAAGCACTATGGAAGTCCACGCATAATAAAGCAAGGAGTTGCAAGAAAAAGCGCTGGTTTATTCTGTTGCCTCTCATGTTTGGGTTCTTTATCACACCTGTGCTGTGGAGATGTGTGACAGAAACTAAAAATCTAGTGTGTTAAGAAGCATGCAGGAAAAAGCAAGAAGGCCACTGAAACTCTTCACAGACCTCAAAAGGAAAAAAGAGCAGAGAAAGAACACAGGTAACGAAGAGTACTATCAATAGATTTAAACGTATTGGACAATTTTTTCCTATAAACAACGCATTTCTATTTACAGGTACTAAATACCTGTATCATGTTCTATTTAACAGTGGTTAAATTCAAAGAAAGGCTCCTTCCAAAACATAAGGAAAAAAAAAAAATTGAACAGGATTGTCTTTCAGAAAATAAGAAATTTAATGCTGATTGCATGGGGCATTAAAGCTACAATAGAATTTTTCACTTGACTACAAAAATCTTAAAATGATCTGTCAATACCATCAGAATTTGCTACATGAGGAGGTTAACCTCCAAGGAACTGTAGTGAGGTTATTTGGGGTAGGGAGTCATCATTCTAAGACCTGCCAGTCCAATAGAAACTTCTGCCAACATAAAGGAACAGCTACTTAGAGCTAATGTCCTGGCCCCTTTGCCGCATGGACCTTGTCTTTTCATCCCTCCACAAGGCTACTTAAGTTCTTCTGCATTTTTGTTGTGTTTCATACATATTCATATATGAATATATACATTTTCACAAAAAAAAAAAAAAAAAGAAAAAAAATAACCTGTGCTGAAGCATCTTCTTTAAATTAGAACCACCATGGGTAACCAGGCACATCCAGCTTCTGCTTTGAGTGACTGTTTCCGACTGCCTCACAAACCAGGCTTTCATATTCTCTCCTCCTTTCCCATAGGAAAATACTGTCTCATAGAAGGAAAAGCAATGCCTGCCAGAACACATTAGATTTCAGAAATACATATTTGAATAGTCAATATCAAGGAAAAAAATACCCATAAATCAAAAATCCCAAACTGCAAGTTATTAGAAATGTTATAAACTATATAAAAAACCCCAAACAGTTTCTGCAAACTCATCAGTTTCTTCTCCAATTTTTAATCAGCAAGCTGTGTACTACACCATGAAAAGATCTTTTTACATTTGCCTGGTGAACTGGCACACCAAGAGTGAAATATTTCTTCAGCATCAGCTTATCCAAAAAAAATCAGTAACAGTTCTCTTTTTCATTCAGTCCTCCTGAGTTGTTTTCTGGTAGAGCCCTTGAAGAGATTGAGACAGGAATGGGAATTTTGCAGTGCCTAGTCTAGACATCTGACAAAGAAAAGAGACATAGCATCTAGGTTTAGGCACCAGTGCTTACTCCCTCATCAGAGGGCATAGGTCTGTGGTGTGAATCAGTGCTCTGACGCTAGATGCTTTTAAGCTGGGCAATGGGATACTTATCTGTAGTTAAGAAATTTCATTATCAGTGAACAAATGGTGGGGATAAAAAAAAACCCACAAACACCGACCAGCCAACCAAAAAGAAACCAAAACCACAACATAGTGTATTCCTGAGTAGTTCACCTCAGTTCCTTTGCCTGGAAATCTCCATTGACTGAAAATAACACTGTCTCCTATAAAGATGAACAGGCAGTATTCGGAACAAAAGGCACAAGGACAGAGCTATTGGGAAGTCACAGGCCTCCTTCACAAGTTTGATGAAGATCCTATTCCTTGCTGGTCTGCACTGGTTTAAAATGGAAGGCTTTAAAACTGAACCTTTGGTGTTTTTAAGAAATTTAGGGGCATGGGACCAGAACACTAAGTAATATCCACTGATCATAGATATTGGAGACATTAAAGGATATTCTAAAAGTAAAAAAAAAAAGAAACTACTATAGAATTACTGCTGTTCAAATGTGGGATGGCTTTGGAAGGCACTTGAGTTCTGCTAGCAAAAAAAAAGATGGAGCTAGGAAAGAAAATTTTCATCTTCATCCTTCTCCACAGAGAATCTTCCTTTCTGGACTTGCAGATTTTCAATTTTGGGCAAAAGCAGCTTGCTGCCATAACACACTCAAAAATAATCTATGGGTTAGTAATAGCAAATTGTGCTTCACCATAACCAGATACAAGTTGGCATGCCAAGAATCTACTGGGGTTTTAAATCGTTGCAAAAGAGCATTAAAGAGAATACTCAGAGCAGCAGTAAGCAGAGAAGCCTGGTGTTTGACTCCTGACCTTACTGAAAATGTGAACTACCTTGTCCTCGTCATTACTTTAAACCAAATAAGCTAACCATTAACCAACATAATTATTACCACACTTTTTCTTCACTTGTGGTAAACAGATTCCCACACTTCAATAAAATCACATTGAAGTACATTAGACTTAGCTTTTGTAGCCAAGTGTTTTTGCAGCACTACTGGAAGGAGCAGGAAAACAAAACTGTGGCTACATAAAGCATAATTCTCTCTAAATGAAGTAAAAAATGATCGGCACTTCCACAACTGAGTTTGTACCCTCTACAAATACCTTGCTAATAAAGTGAAAGAATCTCCTTCTTGTTTGTTTTAGTAATACAAGTCTAAAAGTCATTCAAAAGCTAGACTTGAGTTACTAAATTCATGAGTTCTTGCAAGATTAGAGTTACAATGAATAGTTAGGACAGTTTTGGTGCAGAAGGGATATAATTTTGAAGACCATAATTCAGAAAGGTGAAAAAGAGCTGAGGCAGAGTAAACTGAGAACTTGGACCACTGCAGAAACCATTGGTGTTTCACACACATTCATTCACATACACACGAACACATACAGTAATTGTTTTTGAGGCCACAGTTTAGCTCTTCTCACACACATTAAAGGAACCCAAACATAAGAACTGAGCAGCATAAAAGCCTTTCAGGAAGAAAGCCTGGCCATTTGTGTGTTACATCTGATGGAAATATTACACAGCAGTATTTCACTTCTGAGCCTGATCAGAAGCTGTATTGTATTTACCACACGATGAATATCATAACCTGGGAAAGAACTTTAGCATAAGCCATTAACCCATTGGGGAGAAACTCTGGAAGAGGATTTATCTTTTTACATGGAAAACAATCACAGTAAAATACATGCAAACTTTGAGGAAAACAAGCAGTGCTAAGTAACTGGGGCCAAAACTGAGCCATTCATAGTTATCATACTTGGACTTCAACAGAAAGAATCGTGAGCACATGAAAATACAATAGCTCAGGAAACCAACTGCAAAAAACACCCTAGCTGAGTGTAACTTGGCTATCTGAAAACACACTTGTGAAAATTAAACAGATCATATTCCAAAAGGCTCCCATACCTAATAAATAGTACTGGAGGACACTGAATGACAGAGGTCTGAGCACATGCTATCTGCGTTGTGCTTACAAAGAATTGCCTATTCTCAGCTAATGAAAAGACAAGCATGTAAATTTCTCTGTATAAAAGTAATCAGAAAAAAACCCACCAATTTCTTCTCTCATTTTGTACTTATGTGTAAGTTTCAGAAAGCAAAATCATCAGGTGACATCGCACTGTAATAATTCCAATTAAAATAAATGATGTTGCTCTTAACATAGTTTACAACCTCATAAATAACCAACCTGAGGAGAAAAGAAACAAAAGAACACCAAAAAGTGACCTACCATTGTTTACCCAGCGACCAAATAGCAATATGAAAGATATCCTCTTTCTCTACTTTAGAAATATAGGAGCACTCTGATATTCCAAACCCATCTCCCAATAAGGGATGCTATTTGCTTACAATACTGTTAAATCGTAAGTAAGAATGCACTTGGCATCTCTTGGAAGAGAAAAAACCCGCACACCCTAATTTGTCAGCTTCTCTTTTAAAGCTGACATCCATCTGTCTCCTTACTGCACAAAATAAAAGGCAAGCTTTCCATTTGCAAGCTCCAGATCGCTCGCTCAATTGCTACACTCAAATCACAGCACACAGGGGCTGCATTCCACCTGAGGACTATTTGTGGCGGCTGCC